CCGCGGACTTCCCCTCGAGTGCAGTATTCGATAGCAATTGCGCGTAAACTGTTGAATGTCCCGATATTCCTAGTAATCAAGGGTATGTATCGTCATACGGACCGGGCACTGCAGGAATTGCTACGGGACAACAGAAACAGACGGGATGAGCTCTGACCTAGAGTCTTGGTCTCGCCTAATCAGTAAACAAACCCATCTCAAAACGAAGAGGTATCTGCGAGGTTGCCAAGAGCCATGATTTGTACACAACCGGAGACGATTCTTAATATCTCATACAATTATAGGTCGAAAGCTCAACAGATGAAGACTCCCAAGGGACTACCTTTCGTAGGAGAAAAGACTACATCGCACAACTATCTTCGTCTTTCCTTCCTCTAGATTTTTGTGGCCATGCCCTCCGGCTCGGTTCTACATCCAGTTTCTAATCCGAGGCTTCGATTTAGCTGGTTACTATCCTGCTCCCAGATCATTGACGGATCCCTTCTTGATGTCGAGGCCAGCTCAGTATGATGGTATCTGCAAGTGAAATTTCTCAACTCATGCTTCAGAATTGCTTTGTGGAGTCCTGGGGTCAATGGGGTTCATCGACTGGCTGATACATATCAGTGATGTGTAGATAATGGAGGGACATTTGGTCGGAGCTTATGAGGGAAATCCCTCAAGAGGCCTTTGCTGGTGAAACGTACCATCTGTGGGAATGTTCCTCTGGGTTACCATTGACAGGAAAGATTTTAGAGCATCTGGAACCAAGCTCAGACCAGAGGAAATCATCACCATTGTAGCCAGAACAGAAGATAGGATTCTCTCCAAGGCAGTGGAAGCCGGGGCCCTTATCAGCAACGAAACGTGGTTCGAGGTAAGTCAGGATGATAAGTTGAGCTTCGGCTTGACCTTTGCGGCAGGTTCTATCCACCAGCTGGAAGATAGTGTGAGAATATTTGGGCATGCATCGAGGTCCGAAGGGCTGGCAGAAGCATGACACCTCCGCAGCTGAGATTGCAAGATCTGAGAAATACTCGTTCACTCCCGGTCTGGATTTTTGGATAGCTGAGAGAAGCTGAAACCTCCCATGGCATGGATGCGACAGATTCTACACAAAGCTCTAGACTGCTCGATGTCCATGCTTCGGCTATCAGTTCCGAGGGACGAGTCCATATTGTAGATCATGATTGTAAAGAGGGGCAAGCCGGGCAAGTCTCTCTAGGGGCGGGCAAGCTGTGCCTTACTTATACTGCCCCAGGGTTTGTTCGGACAAAAATGATATGTCGATAAGACTAGTGAACCCTGGAACATCAGTATCAGATTTTCGATATCAATTTCTCATGTCAGAAACATGATATCCCATTCTCGAAATCTTGGCCCTGTCGATGCCAAGGAATCGAGATAGGGAAAGATGATGGAGTGCCCAAGCAAGACGAGAGCTGGGAATGACAGCAAGGCTGAGACGAGGTCGCAAGATCAGTCGACACTGCTCATCGGACCCTCTGAAGGATAAGGGAAATCCTTTCCTTCTGATCTTTAACATGCTACGAATCTGCACCTTGTTGTCCTTGACACCTTGAGTTTTGCTACCTGTCAACAAAAGTGGAGACCGTCACCCTCACGTGCAAAGTTATCTCCTCTGCCCTGCTTCAACCTTTTTCACAACCGCTGCTCATCAGCTGTCAGGCCTGCGAGAATTCCGCAACCATGGCCCCAAGGATTGTTGAAAGCTTCAAGTTGCACACCGAACCGGGATCTTTTGCGAGTGCCAGTGGAGGATTACCTTCAAATAAGGATCTCGACCCTGTGCCCTTCGAGTCAGACGAGCGAACATGGACCTGGCCTTCTCTTCTAGGATTCTGGATTGCTGAGGCTTTCAGTATTTCCATGTATCAAGTTGCATCTTCGTCAATCACCAAAGGCTTGAGTCCTGGTCTGGCAATCACAGCTGTCCTTGTTGGACATCTTTTGGTATGCATTCCTGCGATGTTGAATGGATACATTGGATGCATATATGGAATCAACTTCCCAGTGTTGATGAGGTCGACTTTCGGCGTTTATGGAGCATACTTTGCAGTATTCGTTCGAGGTGTTGTGGCGTGCATCTGTAAGTGCTGCCCTATTCAAATGCAGAACAGACATTAACAGCTTCAGGGTTCGGGACTCAAAGTTTCCAAGGTGGGCAATGCATTCAGACGATGCTGCAAGCAATCTGGCCGTCCTTCAAGACTTTCCCGAATCACATTCCGGCCAGTGCGCACGTCACCTCAGCCCAAATGCTCTGTTTCTTCCTCTTCATCATCGTCCAGCTACCCCTGCTTTGGCTACATGTATCGAAGTTGAGGTTTCTGTTCATGGCAAAGACGATCGTGATGCCCATCTTTGGAATGACCCTGTTTATCTGGGCTTTGGTTGCTGGTATGGCCCTCTCTCATATCTGCATTCTAAGCTCTAACACAGCGTTCAGCCAAAGGATTCGGTCCAACTTTCTCTAAGGAAACCAGTATCAAGGACGGTACACCAGTTGCAGTAGTCTTTTTTCAATGCGTCACGACCACAATCTCTCCAAAAGCTACTCTAGCTTTGAACATGCCCGACTTCACTCGATACGCAAAATACCCTCGCCAGGTCTTCTGGACCCAAGCCGTCGGTCTATGTGTCCTCGTCACACTCTGCGGTATCTTGGGAATAACAGTCACATCTGCTTGTCAAGAAGTATACGGTGTCACTACCTGGAACCCCCTGCAGGTCTCTCTCCTCTGGGAGAACCGTGCAGCGCAGTTTTTCTCAGCACTATGCTGGGCATTCGCTGTAATCGGGACCAACATCTCAGCGAACTCTGTCTCCTTCTCCAACGATCTCGCGCTCTGGTTCCCAACGTGGATCAATACTCGAAGGGGGGCTTATGTCTGCTGTATCATATCCATTGCCGCGACACCGTGGAACATTCAGTACAGCGCTGCGTCATTCTCTGCTTTCCTCGGCGGATATGGCATGTTCCTTGGTCCCATAGCTGGAATAATGATGGCTGATTTCTGGGTCTTGCAGAATTGTCACTTGAATCTTGCTTCTCTGTATCGCCACCCTGATATTTACAGTTTCTTCCATGGATTTAATCTCCGGGCGTTCTTTGCTTTTGTCTGCGGTATCGCACCGAATCTGGCAGGCCTAGCTCGAGCTACTGGGAACTTGGGCGTGCCAAAGACGGCAACTTATGTGTATAGTTTGAGCTGGCTTATTGGGACAATTGTTTCCTTCACCATCTACATACTTGTAGGAAAAATCTGGCCGATGAAAGACAAGTTTGAAGAGGGTCAGGTGATGGATGGCGTTGATAGCTCGAGTCTGGGAGTCAGTGACGAGGAAGGGAAAGGGGTTGGAGAGAGTAAGGTGAAGTCGTTTTGAAAAAGACGAGTCATGAGTACTTTGTACCGTCTGCTGATATCATAATTTTATTCCCCAAAAAATCTGCCAAACTTCCAATGTTGACCTGGGAGGATTCGGGCTTTTCGGAATGCATTTTTTGCTTGGACCAGGCACCTCCTAATTTCTAATTAGTTCTCTAATGATGGGAATGTGTTCATACCCGAGGGGGTGCTCTTGATGCAGTTGACGAAGTCCGCTATATCGAGCCCGAGCGTGTGGGATTAGAAACCCGACTACTAATATCTGGTTTAGACGTAGCCGTCAGATAAAAGATCGCTAGCCAGGGAAGTACCGAAATAGCCCGCCTCTCGTCTAGATTCGAAATGTGAGCACCGTAGCCTGCGACCCCTCTTCACTTGCGACTCCACAAGCCTTCGCAGTCTCGCAATTGCAGACGAACAACTCGACTCATGTTAGAACAATGCCATCGATTCGAGCTTCCCACCCTAGGTAAGTAAACACGGAAGCGAAGCGCGTGAAGAGTTAGCCAGATACTCCATCCACAGTCTCGTGGTCCAAAATGATTCCTTTTCGTCGCTGGCTGCGAGAGCATTGAACGTTGTTGCGACTAGAACTAGATTCATAGGCATTGGTGTTCCAAATCTGAAACTTGGGGATGTGGTGGTGAGTCTTTATGGATTTCCTTCGCCGCTGGCTCTGCGGTGAGGGGAGAGGTCGCAACACCGTTGTTAGCGGACATGTTCTCCATCAATGGATATCCAGGAAAATAGACGAAGAGTCACCGAGGTGTTGTAACGAAGGCGATGAGTGTTGCAGGCCGTTAGATTATCAAGTTATTTTTCCTGAAGTGCTCTTCGTTCCATTGTAGCAGAACATCATCGGTGGCAATGGCGTGCTGCTGGAAGATCCGTCTTGGACAAATTTGATGATGACACTATTCAATTTCCCGAGCGCTACCACGAGTTCTGTCGACAAGTTTGAGGCTCTTTCTGATAAATCCCAAGCTCATTGATGGAGCAAGGTCCTAATGACTTATTGAAAAACTAGATCTGAGACATTACGAGGAAGAGCTAAACCTCTCTTGATTGGACAAAGGATATATTGTGCTTTAAAGAAAAATGATTCGAAGGGGCACCCTTCGACGAACTAATATAATAACACGTTGCCAAGTTCTGGGTATTTTCCTAGGTGGTCAGGATGCATAAAACGAACTTGGTACTCTAGCCGTTATTGCCTCTACTAAAGCAAGTGATTGGAGTTCTGGAAACGGGCATTGACTTGAGGTATTTCTTCGAAGGAGCGGAACTGAAGGAGCAGATGGAGATTCGATTCAATAAGAGAGTGGAAGTGGGTGAGCCAATCTGTCCTCGAAACGGAAAGGGTAAGCCAATCAAAACGCTTTCGTCACGTGAAAGTGGCGAGTAACTTTTTTATACGTGGCACATCCGAATATCGCAGCTAAACGTGCCATCTTCTTTCGAGAGATACATAACGTGCTAAAAGTGCAGTTGACGTTAGACAAGGAGGTAGGCACTCAAAAGGCAAAGATCCTCCCATATATGAAGAAGAGTCAGTTAGGGTTTCCAAAAATGCCAAAAGGGAAACACTTGAACATCTCAAGTTGGAGGTATTGAACCACACCCGATTTGAACGGATAACCTTTCGATCTGGAATCGAACGCGCTGCCGTTGCGCCAGCGGTCCTTGATCTTGTGAGTTTCTTATGTTTCCATGCTGATTTGTGCTTATTTTAATCTATTTCAAGCGGGGGACGTACAAATTTTGCTCGGCCCGGTGGGGTGGAGTTGTGGGTCAGGTGATGAGATGGGGTTGAGCAGTGGATACACACCTTCGGGGATCTCGAATAGTAGTAGGCATAGAAGGAGATTGTGTCGAAGTTGATAGATAATGTAGAATACTTGAGTGTTGAGTGTCCCGTGTAGTGTGTGGGGGTCGTGATGCTGAAGCTTCAGGGCTAGAGGGACATTCGGTAAAGCAATTGCGGAACATGAGAAGACCAATTCGTCGGGGAAATTGGGAGATCAGACTTGGGAGATGAATATCTCCCAAGTTATAGAAATCGAAAATGTATCAAAGGAATTGAAGGCCAGTGACGTTGACTGGATGATTTGCAAACGAGGCTAGAACAACACCACGCGGGCCGTGCTAGTGCATCACCTGTATAAACAACCTAATTTAAAGCCTTTTAATTTACGCGCGAGCAGGTTAAAGTCTATGCGTGATTACATTCTCTCGGAAATTTCATGCTTTTGTCTCACTGCCAATAATCCCTCTCACCACTCAGCATACCAGTAGCTTCCTGCCCCATCTTCCCAACCACAATCCTACCCTTCCCACGGACCAAAAACTTTCCATCCCCAACACCACCAACCACCCCACCATTGTCTCGATCCCAAACAACCTTCCCTCTCAGAATGGTATACTTTGGCCAATTCTTGACAGTCATACTTTCAAACGGCGTGTAATCAACACCATGATGAAGCGACTTCTGTTCAATTACCACTCCTCCCACAATTTCATTCTCCGGGTACCCTAGGTGACGGGGGAGTTAGCAATTGCCCACATGAAGGATACCTTAAGAAGAAGAAGACAAGATGAGTCTTTAAAAGATTTAGTGACATTCAAAAAGGGTAGTTCTGGGCTCCCCCATTACCTACAAATCACCAAATCGGCATCACATCCCGGCGCAATATTGCCCTTCACACCCTCCAGACCATACAATTTTGCTGGATCCGAACTCGTCAGCTGCACGAATCGCTGCAGACTTAATCGCGAAGTCTTCTCTTGTCCGGCGTGGCTAAACAGCAACGGTAACCTCGTTTCGACACCAGGTACTCCGTTCGGGATATGCTTATAAGTCATAATACCGTCTTTCAAACCGAGCTTCTTACCGCCAGAATGATCATATGTTGAAGGAGCATGATCCGAGCTGAAAGTTGTAAAGGTCCCGTTTGCGATCCCGCGCCACATTGCATCCAAGTCTTTTGGATCGTGGCGTAGAGGAGGGCTGCAAACGCATTTTGCGCCTTCGAACGGATCTTGTTCGGTCCCCTTCAGTCTTTCGCTCAGAAGGAACAAATACTGTGGACAAGTCTCTGCGTGGATGGGCAGCATTCTCGTCTGCGCTTTTCGTACATGCTTCATCACTACCTCGGAGCTCATATGCACGATCAGGATTGGCGTGTCAGTTAGCTCCGCTAAGCTGATGATACGATACGTCGCTTCGTTCTCAGCGATTTGCGGTCTTGATATGGCGTGAAAATATGAGTCGCTATGTCCAGCTGCTTCGAGACGTGATGTGATGAGCGAGATGATATCGCTGTTTTCAGCATGCACCATTGTTGTGAAGCCCAGCGAGCGAGCAGACATCAAAACGTCAAGAATGGCGGCATCTCTGAGCTTGAGGTCTTGTGATACCTTGCGACATCAGGATTGGGAGTTCTTTACTCATGATCTCGGGAGTGGGGTTTGTGAGGATGAGATGGAAGCCATAATCGCAATAAGTCAGGTTTTTGGCACGGGTATGGTAGTCTTCGACCGTCGGAAGTATTGTATCTACTGTCTTGAGTTGCGATACAAAAGCTAGATCGGTGGTTGTTCCTCCTGCGATTGCACTTCGGCTTCCCCGTCTGGAAGTTGTCTCTAGTCGGGGAGTTGTCCTGCGCGAAGTGGACTTGAGAATCCACACCTCCTGGTGTGATATATGCACCCTTGGCATTTATTATCTTGGCGTTTTCATCTCGTGGAAGAGCAGTTCCTAGGCAGGATATATTGCCGCCTGTGATACCGATCTCAACACCTAGAGGAAGGACGTCACTGGCTGTAACCTGGGGTGTGTTAGCCATGGTCTCGCTTGGGGGGGCTGTGAAGTAAACAAAAGAGAGGTAAAGCTCGCAAGCCTTCGCTTAGAATGACTTGATTCATTTCCGCTCCCACCAGAAGCTCTCGTCGCCCACCAAGGAAGTTTTAAAAGATGTCGGCAAAAGAGACCCAAAAATAAACATACAACAGTGGGTATTCGCTGGTGGTCACCCACCCAACTACTAATCCACCGATCTGAAGCTTGTGTATGGCAGAGCGGACGGGATGCCCAATATCTCTTCAGTCTATGGTCGTATGTGACAGCCAAAGACTTGTCTGGAATAATATTTAGGAAGCCTTGAAGTCGTAGTAAACGAACTTCGTACCGAACCAAGCGACCCAAACACCTTCGGAAGGAGAAACTCCATTACTGAAGACGCCAGTAAAAGAATTCCCGCATGTAAGCCACCACAAAAGGGGAAAGGTCGCAACCAATACTCAAATAAAGCGCCTGCGGGCCGGCTCGCTGCCCTCCCTAAGGCGCAGATAAGAAAGAATATGGCGGCACGGGCGGTTTGAGTACAAAGTAATAATCGATCCCTTCCGAAGGCTGTACTTTGCTAGATTCATTTTGAAGTGCAATAATAGGCGCATTAAATTCGTACTGATTATATCAATCGAATGCGAATTATTTCATACGTCTTGTGTATTATCGTACATTTACCATCCTCAAATTCCTTCTTCAATGAGGTGGCAGACCTTCTCTCGAAGGTGGATTATGTCAATGATTGTGCGTATTACCCCACTTCGTCAAGCCAGCGAAACTTCCTATCTACCAATGACGAGACTTACAGTACAATACGGACAAGCCAGGAATGGCTTGCATATACCAACCCGTCCTGCAAGTACACAAAAACGTGTACCAGTCGATTCCTCGTCGTGTATTGTCCCCTAGCTAAGCCGTAATTTTGCGTCTTATCGTAGAATTCACCATCTCAGCTTGAATCCTGTTTCGTTTCGTCCTCTTTCATAAGCCTCTTGCGGCCCCAGCAAGCCCAACCTCGCCTGACCCAAAGGCCGTTGCTATTTTCTAAATTTTACAACTACTATGTCTGGTAGCGGCGTGTTTGGCGCCATCAGTGCTGTTCTGGGATATGTCGGGGCTGAAGCCGCCACCAATCTAACCATAGAACGTTTGCTGTGGCCGCAGAGATCCTACTCCAATTTCACTTGGAAATCAGTTCCCCTACATGCCCTTCTAATGCCCATGAGTGGACCGTTGCACATCGTCTCTTTGAAGAGTCTCGATAACCTCTTCGACCATGGCATGCTCAAGGGGGGGAGATTGGGCCACATGCTCGGCACATCCTTTTACCCGACCCTTAACTGGACCTTCACCATGTGGAACGCAGACGATGAAGAGGTTCGGAAAGACGATGTGCGAAACGCCGTATGGGTTAGGGCACTCGACCACATGCCGATACCCGTCCAGCTCCCAAACTCTCCTCGACCGTTAGACAAGGATATCGAGAAAAGGACGACAAGCTCAAAGCAACATTCAGTCCCGTTGCGCTCCGTACACTCTGTGAGCCGCATCATACTCGCAAAGGCAACAGATACCGACAAGCAGTCAGACCTACCATTCGTGTCTGAGGAGAACAACACGCCTACCATACGGACGTTCATCGGTATATGCACCGCCGAGACAACGAGTATCCTTGTGGCCGTCATTCTCCTCACGTTACACAAGTCACTGTGGGCGATTTGGTGGTTCGTCCCGCTTTTCCTGCGGCTGTTGAGCGCACTCTTCGCAGTAGACCGCGAGGGCGTGAAGATCGACCAAGAGTTAGGCGACTCCGTCTGCAACTACGAAATTCACTGCCCTCATTCGAACGGCAACTTCATGCTCATAACCGGCCCGCAGTCAGTCGTTGACCAATTCTTTGTCCATTACGGTCATCCGGTGCGTAATCGCTTCCGCGAGATACTCCAGATTGTAATAATTGTACTCTTTGGGGCCATATTTCCAGTTGGGCTGTTTTTCTCCGTCATCTTTATGCCGCTTACGATTCAGTACGTCTGGCTGTGTTGTCAACTATATGTCGTTCTGACTATGCTTGTGACGCGGTACTTCTATCGGGTGAATGGCACGGCGACGGAGGCCAGGATTGCAAAGCAGCTAAGCAGGCAACTAAGTAAGGACAACAGGAGCGGCGCCGAGGATATGGAAGGAACTTCGATTCTTTTCGGTCAGGAACGCAATTGCGCTACAACAGTAAAGGCGAGTCTCGTGGTCACCTATCACGATCGTTGGCGCGACGGCAAGAATCATTTGAACGCCATTATCCATGGAGGGGTAATACGCCAGGAGGCACACGAAATAAACAAGGTCGAGGTGTAATCTTATGTTCAGTTACGGAATTTGACCAAAGCGGTGTATTGTAGCTAGGTCGCGGTAACATAGAACATAAACTCTCGACGGCTAGATTCATATCCAGAGTTGCGAACATATCACCACACCAATACATTGCATTGGCAAGATTCCAATGCCTTAAACTTGGTGTCCCATAAGGATTCCACGTTGGCTGATGATGTTCACCTTCGTATTAAATCTATGATTCTTTTTCACTTGGACTGCACTTCTACAAGCAAAGCTCAAGCTATATCACCGAGGTCACTTAGGTTCTAAAACCCGATAGTCCATTAAATGTTTACCTTGCCGTAGATTTCTGTCTTCCTCTTCATTTGCATCTCGGCTGGTGTGGGATGGTGCTTACAGCGGCTCTGTGAACTCGCCCGTGATCCAGTAGGATAAGAACAAGGCAGGAGATTAGCGATGGTTGTAGCTCATCCAGTGGTGTAGCAGGGCAAAAAAATGCAGG